GGGGTGGAATGAAGAATTTCCTATCGAAGGGAAATTTGCGTTTAAGTGATAAAACTGACATGATTTTGTGAAGATTTTGTTTAAATTATGTTTATTTAGAACTGTCCTTAAAGACTAGGCAAAAAGTAACACACTACATACAGAAATTAATAACTGGAAATTTGTGCAATCAATTTTAGTTACTTTAGAGAATCGCCAGGTTTGTATTGTATTCGCTCAAATTTTTTTTTATGTAAATTTATAAAACATACACCATTGGATGACCTCTCTCTGCCACATAGAACAACTATTGAAAGGCTATTTAACAAGGCAGATTTCTGCATATGAGATATCCAATTATTCAACCTGAAGGAAGAAGACATGTGTGATGAAGATAAAGATTCATTGAACACTAAAGTATTTATGACAAAAACGGGGAAGAATCATCTTACTTTGTAACTATTTTCTCCTCAGCAGAGGCCAAGGCAGCACTTTCCTTCTCCGTTAATTTAATGTGTCCAATAGTGAGGAAATTATCAAATACTTTGGATGAAGCTCCATCAACTATGGATTGATTGGATGCAGAAATCACGCAAGTAACACGTCCAGTATCAGAGGTTTCGTCTTTTGCAATAGTTTTGCAAGAACCATCATCGTTGACTTGTTCATAAGATGCTATCCTTGGATTGAGATAATCCATATATTTTTCCACAATTTCAGGTCCAGCCAAAATAGATGCTAAAAAGTAAAAAGAAATACTTACTACTCTTTCAATGCAAATTCTTGTTATGCAAGCAAGTACTAAAGCACATACATACCATGTTTTCCCATTTGAGTAGCATAACTAAAGAGACTGGTTGCATATCCAGATAGATCCACTTTCTCATTAGTTTCAGAGTTTTTGTGCTTGTTCATTCCGTGAACTGAAAGAACTTGATCGCCAAATTCGAGACCTAAAGAAAAGGGTAGTTTTGATAGGAACTTTCTTTACATTGAATTTCATAACTAATAAATAAAAGTAAGGCTAAACAAATACTTTTTGACAGTTTAAGTTGAACCAGTTTGAGTGAGGCAGATGAGTCTTCAACAGAACAATGTCCTTGGTTGCCTGTTTGGATTGATTCTTTCAGAAAATGTTCAGAGAGATATCTGAGTTTTGATTTTCTGTATCGATCTCCAGTCACATTGAAGATTACACTAGTATCAATACAATAGGGATGCATCATCTGCAGGGAAAGAGAAGAATAAAATATGAGTAGTACGTGAAACTGATAGACAGTCTATTTAAACAGACATGATTAAGTATAAAAAAACATTAAGTAATACCTGTAATGCAACTAAATCAAAATTTAATGATTGACCAACAAGAATGGCATCAGACTCAAGGTTTTCTTGGATAAATTTTTGAACATCTTCTAACCTTGTAGTAACATTCTTCATCATTGCAGCAGTGATTCCTGAATACCTTGTGAGGTAGTTAGTAATCTTGTTAGGGGGTAAAACTAGCGTATCTAAAACCGTCTAGAAAATAAAATAAATCTTCTTGAAATTATTGAACTAAGAGCAAACAAGCAAAGAGAGCCATTTTAAAAGAAAACAAACCTCAAGTTTTTCATTGACAATTGAAACTCTTGTGCATTCACTTTTACCAATTGAGGTTGTACACATTTCACAGTCCACAGCATACATTGGAGAAAAGTTGTTAACTTCTTTATAGATGGGCTTTGTGGCAACAAAATCTTTAAACCTATGGAAAAGATCCAGTAAGACATCAGAAAAAAAACAGATGTATATTGAATATCAAAAAGAATTTTAAGGACATACTTTTCTTTAAGAGCAGCATTTAATGGAATTGGATACCCTTCTTCAATCATTTGCCATGCTGAAAGCAGCAAATGAGTTCTAGGGAACTTATCAGTTTGAGGCAATGTTTCTGGTACAGGAAGTTGAGATGGAGCTTCATTTCCAGATTTTTTATCAGAAACACTCTTATTTCCATTTTTTAAACTACTTGTTTCAGATGAACTTTCAGAGGGATTGTTTCCATTCACCGGAAAAAATGCACGCAGTACTTTGAACACCTCACAACTCGAATTCACTGCCTTTTCTAAAGAACCATATGCTGAAACAAAAAAGGATCTTCATGTTCTTTCACACTTCTTATGATCAGAAGAAATTTCTGAGAATGGAAGAACCTTACTGACCTTGAATTATATTGTTTCCTTGGTTGCGAGACAATGGAATAGCACAAAACTCCTCAATTAGGTTGCCTCCATATGCAGAGGGCATTACCACTTCAAGATGAAAAGGAAAATTCGACTTTGACAAAGAGGTCAGACTTTCTTCACATTGGAGGTAATCACTGATACCAGCTCCCTCAATGAATAGGATTTGAACTGCAGTTAAATGGCCACATTTGTCCAACTGGCACCATCTGCACACAATTTTAAGAGAATGATATATTATTGAAAATAATACTTATTATTAATAAAATTGAAACATGCTTCAAATTTAAGAGATATTTAGACCTGGGTATAAAAGGTGAATTTTGAGCTAAGGTAGAGAATAATACAAAGTGTTGAATGTCTGAGAAAAATATTGGTACTCTGTCAGTAGGTGATACATTGAGTTCTGCTTGGAAACCAGTGGGTTCTTTTAGAGAGAGATATGGTGTTTTCTGTAAATAATAAAAGGAATAAGAAACACTCTGGTTGGTATAGAACATGGCAAAATATACTCATCATACCTTTTTTTCTCTGTTACGCTGTTTTAGAAGTTTGCGTAATTCCTCTAATTCTTTTTCTGAATACTTAGGTTTAGAGTTATCCTCACTGATATCTTCTTGCTAGAAATTTAAAAGATGTCTCAAAATTACTGATGAAACTATTATCAATAAGCTCAAAAGTTTACAGGCAACTAAAAATAACACAGATCATTTTTTTAAATAAAGAAAACATAAGAATACACTTACTGAAGGGCCAGTTAATTTCATTTTCTTTTGTTGTGGTTCTTCAGAACTTGCTTCGGTATATGAAGGAGTCATTATTGTCTGAAACAGAATATCATCGGTATATTGTGGAAGACATTATACCCAGCAAAAATTCTTTAAGCGATTGAACTAAATACCTCTCTATCCTTTTTATTTAAATCAGAAATTTCTAAGAGGGCTGCAATTTTTTTACGCTTCTGTTCCTTGCGCTTTTCTTTAAGGGTCATGTTGTCCATTATGCATCATACCATCAGTCAATAGCCTGGGAGAATTGAGTCTGCAAACAAAACAAGATTGGGTTAATATTAAAGAAATAGCAAAATAGTGAAAGATAGTAAAAGAGACTCTATGTTGTCGATTTGAATAACTACTGAATCTTCTGAAAATTTGCTTTATAGAACTGTCAAAGCAAGAAAAGAAATTCCTATGAATAAAGGACACCTCTCCACCAAACAGATAGATAGAGCATGCTAATAGGAGGGTTATGTACTCTTAACGTGGTTTACCAATTGTGTAAATGCGGAAATGTAACAGCCTTCTTCCCGTTTGATAGGTTTGACCAAGCGAAATACAATAAAGCAAATTTGACATGAAACACTATGTCTAACTAGAAAAAGTGAGCAATGTTAAACTGTAACCAAATGAGATTTTGGTCTACCTCGTTTGCAGCACACGCCACACGATCATAACATTGTGATCTGCGAATAACGATCTACGCATTCGACGCACTTCACCGCTCAAATGCGCGCGAATAGGTTCGCAGTTCAAATTGAGAAAGTTCGCATTCGCATTCATCTTCTCGCTCTAGGAGATGGTCGACGAAGGCTGTTCTCAGAGAACCGTTCCTTCATGTTCCTTCACGCGTTCACCCTACTGGGCACTTTCGGTGTCGTTTCTGATCATTTTAATAGACATATATGTACCACTGCACTACACCCTCGCGCATAACACTGTTAAAAGTAATGTACCCAGAAACAGAATCCATACAGATCGTCCTGCACTTTAAAACTAAAGTGAAAATGTGTTCGACTGGTATTTGAGGAACAAATACTTGACCATGCTCGAAAAGAACTTTCCTCTAGTATAAAGGTACATTCCATAGCCTACAGAACCACACTGTTTAAAAAATTACCACACCGTTCTGTAGTGATTTACTGTTGATTTTTTTTTAAACAGTCAAGCATGCTTGCTCGCATAAACACCAAGCGCTATAGTCCGCCCCCCCCCCTCCCCTTCCGACACACAATAAACGTTTCCTGTGTGACCCTAATGATAGCGCCTGCGACACGCTGGGTAGGCCAACCCGTCAAGCAGCTGTGTGAAGACGGCGGCCCACCCTGCGCCACTGAGCGCTGAAAGAAGAAGAGAGGCTCATACTAGTGTTTTTGATTGGGCGGGTACGGCCTGACACTCTATCCCGATCTCATTCAGGCCGTCGTGGGGCGCGCTTAAAGTTTAGGCCATATATTCGCCCTGTCGAAAACAATAGCTCGAACTGCAAGGCAACTTTTTTTTTGGCACCCAACGTTAGCGTTCCCTTCCTACGCACTACGCGTCAGCTTAGGGATTTCTTATTGTGGGGCCACCTTAACTTTAAGCCGCCAGGTGTCGACAAGGCCATTGTTATGTCTCTCATTTGATTTTCAATCCGCGCTGGCCTTCCTTAATCGGCCTAGTATTCAGTTAACGACCCCTAGTCTGCTCGAAAGAAAGTGGTGGGGAAAAAAAGGAAGAAAGACATGGAAACTCGTGAAAAGGGGGAATGGTGACGGAACTTTTTACTCGCCGAAACAAATGGAACATCATGCAGTAATTTTACGTAGTACTCAGGTTTGAATCAGCACCACCAAAATAAGTTGGGAGTACGGGAACGCAACGTGCGGTATGAGTGTTAAAAATCGAATCAATGTCAAAAACGTAATTGGTATTGGTGTATAAACGTACTGCAGCCATATGACGCGAGAAATCGACTCACTGTCGCAGGGGACAGTTGTGTGCGTGTGCGTGCGTGCGTGCGTGTCTAAAGGTGTATGCATCCCTATTACAATTACGCCACATTACCCAATACTTCACTCGCACCTGGCTGTGCGTGCCGAAGATCTGTCCCTGTTGGGTGAGAGGAGAGAAGGCCCCGGCACGTGCATTCGTGCAGTCTTGCACTGGTGAGACACATCTTTTGCCCGTAAAGGCCTATGTCGCCCTGTACACAGACCTGTTTGTCTCATTTACATGTGACCTGCACATCGCTTCGGCCCCGCCGCGCCGGTGTGGCCATGTCGGTGTGATTGGCCTCATTGTAAACCTATTCTTTTGCTACACCCCCTTCCCCTTTCCACTTTCCCACTCCTCACTATTGCCAACAAAGTAGTCGGTGCCATCTCCGACCCGACGAATCGAAACTCCTACAGTAACAGTAACTGCTTTGCCTGAATCACGTGGGGAATTTGATTCCGCATACTCTGGAAATCCAAGTGTAGGAATGTCGCACACCTGCAGGTGAGTGAAAAAAATCACACACCTGCAGGTGTGCGACAAAATTTTCACACAACTGCCGATGTGTGAATGACTATTCACACACTTGGGGTGAAAAATGGCTATCTTTCCAAGTGTGTGAACATTTTGTCACTCACTTACGGTGTGTCCGGGAGAATACGCGGCAGCTCGAAGGGTTGCCTACACACTAGCTTGCAGGCGCCGAGGGCGGTGGGGGAGCGGTGGAGGTGGCGGGAGGCGGCCGGTCGCCACGGTCTCCTCCAGCCACCTCTACAACTCCCCCTCTCGCCCTCGGCGCCTGCAAGCCAGTGTGTAGGCAACCCTTCGAGCTGCCGCGTATTCTCCCGGACACCCGGTACAAGCATGTTAATTTTTTCACACACTTGCAGGTATGTGACATTTGTACACTTGGATTCCCAGTATATCCCCCCCCCCTCACACAAAATTTATAATAGTGGTGGGCGGGATAAGAATAGCCCTTCATCAAAATCGGAATGGAGAGGTGGTAAAACATGCTAATGAAAACAATTCACAAATTTGCTCAAGCTTGCGCAAACTGGGTCGACTGATCTTGGCACACTTTGTTGTACCATGCGCCGAGTCGGAAATTAGATATCTGTGGATGTGTCTACAATATATCTACAAAAGTCTATGATGAACAAAGGTGATTCCTGGATCACTTTGGGTGGGTTTCGGTCCGGCTGAGGTCGGGGGAGGGCGATGCTGTGGGTTGCCCACATACAGGTTTTGTGTAGTGAATTGACTACCTTTCAGGTAACTATTCAAGGCTGATTGTTGGAGGGGAGAAGGGGGGCAACTTGCCCCTTAAAACCACGCTTGCAGAGTACACTAGGCCCGTGGCCCACTTGTGACCGCGGCTTCTGACTCTGGCTACTGGCTCACACGTGTGTGTGTGTGTGTGTGTGTGTGTATGTGTGTACATGAGTGCCCCACTTTTTCACAAGTAGGGTCAGCCTCACTGCGTACTGCGTAGTAGTGAACAACAACAACACCAAACAAACAAACAAACAAACAAACAAACAAACAAACAAACAAACAAACAAACAAACAAACAAACAAACAAACAAACAAACAAACAAACACGACTAAACTATTGTACAAATTTATCGCAGAGGCACAAATTTTAAACGTCACATATACTTGCCATATTTTTTCCTTGAGCATTGTAAAACACGATGATAATCTTTGTCCAACGCATATCGTTCGACAGGGGGACAATTTTGTAATCTTATCCTTAAAATTTGTTCCGTTCACCACCTGAATTCAGAACAGGATTTTCTCTTGATTACATCATGCTTACCCTTTAACTCTTCCATTGTTTTAGAAGTGGCTGAAATATGATCAAATAGTTGAAAATGACTCTGTTTCTTTTCATTGCCTCCGCACAGAACGCGCTTCATTCTTTCGGAATACGCGAGTCAAGCTGTCACGAGAAACGTAGTGGGGATTCCCACCGACGCTTGATGGCAAGGCATTGGTGGCAAGGAACGACGGACTTGCTGCGTGAGTTTCTGATGAAATGGGTGCATTTGGCATGTTATGTTATTATCGTCCGGAAATGGCCCGAACTTTTAAGGTACACCGACCGAGGTCGAACTGATGTCAACACTTCTTAAGAACGACACGATGTTCGCATTTACCGGACCCCATTTTGGTAGCCCCATTTTCCATTTCACACCTGTTATGAACTTGCGGTATAGAGGACGGGATGACTAAAAGAGCGGGAATGTGACAGGAAGGGAGTGATAAAAGAAAAGGGGGGGGGAGCAGGGTGCGAGGGGAGCTGAAGGCGTTGGCGGGCTGCGCGGAGGGGTCGTATTAGCATACCATGAATAGAGCGGCTTTGTCCGATTTCGGTTCAACTCGCCCCTCGCTCGTTCGGACATTTGTATCGAGGCGGCCGCGGTGTGACTATCAGAGCGCAGCGCGTGGCGCATGTCGAGGCCCAGCTCAACAAGTGCGGCCAACTAGTCGGGGAGCAGTCCGAGGGGCGTCGTCATCCGAGGTTTACTACTTCTCGTCTAGTGAGCACAGAGGTGAGTTCAGAGGTTACAGCTTCACATCCGCAGGGAAGAGCCGAGGTCTTTGTGGAGGAGTGGCGGCTCTGTTCAGTTCAATCGCAACAAAATTGACCGCTGCTCGTAGTTTTGAATGTAGATTTAAGTGTTTTAGGCTTCGTTGAGTTTGCAAGATTGTGTGCGGAGTAAAAATGGGTTGAAGTGGTTCCTTGCCACATCACACCGTTTTTGTTGCTGTTTTTGTGGGTTTTTTTTTTTGAAGCAGTTCCAAAAGGACGGATCACCAATGTGACATCGCACTAGAAAATTGGCTGAGTCATGTAGTGAACCAAGCGCGGCACATCGGCTTTGACTTTGGCTGTTTTGGTTCCAGACCGGAGACTCGAATAAAATGGGGGACGAGGTTGTGATATCTGGCGTGGGAGGGCACTTCCCTGACTGCGACAACCTGAAGGAGTACGGCGAAAAGCTGATGAAGAATTTGCATCTCATCAGCGATACGGCGGGCGAATTGCAACCAAGTGAGTTGGGCCGTTAGGCCGCCAAGGTCAAATAAAGCCGTCAACCAGAGTGTCGGTTTGCAATCAAACCGGCACAGTTTGTCAAAAAAAAAAAAGAAAGAAAAGAAAAACAGTACCACCAAGAGTGCACTGCATAATTATGCACCGTGCGTCAGGACAACGGCACAACAGTGTTGCAGGGTTTGCATGCGGTAAGTGCAACATACTGTTGTGTCGTGGCCCTGACACATGGTACTCCGGTGCTCGGCGAAAGCGGAAGTAGAACAAAAATGCAAAATTTCGCCGGCCGAGCCGCTCCGACCGTCACTTGTCTCGTCCGCGCAGCCCTGCCCCTCGGGAGGTAACAGGGAGGAGCCGAGCCCCCCTCCCCCTTTCCCCTGGACCCGGAGTATCCTTACACATTTCTCACAGGGGTAAAAATGGAACTTGTGCAGGGTACGATGCAGAGATGGCGGCCACCTTCCAGCCTGACCCGGACGCGGTTCTCAACAAGGAGACGCTCAAGAGCGGCAAGATGCGCTTCGGCGACAAATTCGACAACACCTTCTTCGGAATGCACGCGCGTCTGGCGGCTGCGACCGACTCCATCACGAGACATGTCTTGGAAAGCACCTTGGAGGCAGTAGTTGACGCGGGTAGGTTTGTGGTGGACATCGTGGTTCCTTCTGACCTCACCGTTACCCCTTCCCATATCACGAGCTTGACAGAGAACTCGGTTCTCGCCCTATCCAGGCTACAGCCCCAAGGACCTGCACGGCTCCAACACGGCCGTGTTCATGGGCTACCACTGCAGCGAGTCCGAGAGCAACTTCATCCGAGAGTCGGCGGACGGCTTCGGCATCATGGGGCTGAACGCGGCCATGACGGCCAACCGGGTGTCCTACTGGCTCGACCTCAAGGGCACCAGCTTCACGCACAACACGCAGCTGGTGAGCGGCATGCAGGGGCTGGACATGGCGTTCCGCGCGCTCTGCCGGGGCGAGTGCGACCGCGCTATCGTCGGCGCCGCCTCGCTCTCCTACCTGGCCGAGCTCGCCACCCACTACGACGACCTGGGCTGGCTCAGCCCCTCCGGCAGCTGCAAGCCCTTCGACCGAGCAGGCGAGTACCAGCGGCCAGCACGACAGCCAGCGGTGGCCGCGAGCGGCGGGCTCTGACCGCGCTGCTGTGTGTGCTTGCAGCCGACGGCGGCGTGCGCAGCGAGGCCGTGGTGGTGCTGCTGTTGGAGCGGCGCAAGACGGCCCAGCGCGTCTACGCCGAGGTGGTGCACACCGCCGCCGCGCTGTGCTGCGAGCTCAGCCGGTCCCAGCTGCCGCAGCTCGAGCGCCGCGTCATCTCCCACATGCTCAACAACTTCTACACCGTGAGTATCCGGACCTACTGACCACCACGTCCGCTCGGATACCCAGACAAGTAGGGCAAGATAAGCAAGAAGTTCAGCAGGGTGATGTGACCACTGTGTGGTCACGCTGCCATGTTAAATCATGGACGACAAACATAGAGCCACACTCCACTTATCGTGATCTCCAGGATTGCGGCGTGCATCCCAAGGACATCCAGTACATAGAGGCCGACGGCTGGGGGGTGGACTACGTGGACGAGTCCGAGATCGGCTCGCTGGACGACGTGATCGCGAGCCGACGTACGGAGCCGCTCCTCATCGGCTCGGTCAAGGGCAACATCGGGCAGACCGAGGCGGCCAGCGGGCTGTCTTCCATCTGTAAGGTGAGGGGGGAGACAGTTCAGTTTGGATGGTGAGAGGTTTGAAGTGACAGGTGTCACGTCGTCTCGCAATAACTCTCGTCTCCTCGACAGGTACTGGTTGCCCTGGAGTCTGGCATTATTCCAGCCACCATCAACCACGTCGAGCCCCACGGGAGACTCTCCGCCCTGCGTAATGGACGCATCCGGGTAAGTGTGGGGGTGCATCGTGCCTTTTAGTTTTAGCCACCCACAAAAGTTCCCAGTTGGTTAGGTACGGATCCAGGACAGGGCATTTCTCTCTCTCCTCGTGATCGTCTCGTAACAAGACATCATTCACAGTTTTTTCGTACCCCCCCTCTTCCCCCTACCCTCTCTGGTCTGCACGACGGTACAAATGCCGGTGCCTGTGGTTGTAACCGCGCCTTTCTCCCATGTCGTTAGGTTGTGACGGAAAACACCCCCCTCCCGGAGGGGTTGGTGGCGGTCAACAACATTGGTCTCGGCGGCATGGTCGGCCACGTCCTGCTCCGCCCGAACATGAAGGTCAAGCTGCCCCCGGCCATGCCCCCCGCCGACGCCACCGATTCCGTCGCCTTCCCCAAGCTGCTCCTCATGTCCGGGCGCACCCCTGAGGGCCTCGAGGAGGTCATGAAGATAGCAGAGCTCAACGCCAACGACCCCGAGTACTTGCACCTCTTGCACGGCGCCTTCGCATCGCACATATTCGGCCACATGTACCGCGGGTACTCCATCACGCCCAGGAACGACCAACAGCCGCCCCAGGTTAAGGTAAGCTACCGAGTTCCAGAAAAGAAAAATAAGCTGAGCAGGGATGGAAAACTGTTCTCATTATTATTGATTGGCCGTTGAACATGAACTGTCACTTACGGATCATCTTAAGGTACGTCGGTCATTCGCCGTCACGCACTAGCCAAAGTTCAGTCTGTGCAAGCTTGCAGAGCGCCTGATAGGTAGGCAACATCTTGCCCGCAGTGCACATGAGCATTGCGGGGCGGCCTACCCGGAGTCTCGCAGGCGCCGAGCTCGAGGCTCGAGATTCGTTGTCTGCCGAGTAAATCTGAGAAAAACAGACGTACTTTCTGCCGGGCTATTCCTTCGTGATTAACCGCACTCGTGTCTTCTCGCAGTTCTACACGGGCCAGAAGAGACCCGTCTGGTTCATCTACTCCGGGATGGGCAGCCAGTGGCCCGGCATGGGCGAGGACCTGATGCGCATCCCCGTGTTCGCCGCGGCCGTGGAGCGCTGCCACGCGGCCCTCGTCCCCCTCGGCCTGGACCTCAAGCACATCATCACCTCCAAGGACCCCAAGATCTACGACAACATCCTCCACTCGTTCGTCGGCATCGCCGTGGTGCAGGTGGGGCTGACGGATGTGCTGCGCTCCCTGGGCATCGAGCCGACGGGCATCATCGGGCACTCGGTGGGCGAGCTCGGCTGCGCCTACGCCGACGGCTGCATCACGGCGGAGCAGATGATGCTGGCGGCGCACGCTCGCGGACAGGCCTCCAACGAGACCAAGCTCATCCCGGGCATGATGGCGGCCGTCGGCATGGGCTACAAGGACATCAAGGACATGATCCCCGAGCCCATCGAGGTGGCGTGCCACAACTCGGCCACGTCGTGCACCCTCTCCGGCCCCACGGCCGACTTGGAGAGGTTCGTTGCCCAGCTCAAGGACAAGGGGGTGTTCGCGCGCAGCGTCAACGTGAGCAACATCGCGTACCACAGTCGGTACATAAAGCCAGCCGCACCGCGCCTCCTCGAGCTGCTCAAGGGCGTGATCCTGGAGCCCAAGGCACGGTCGACGCGCTGGGTGTCGACGTCGGTGAAACCAGGCGAGCACAAGTCGCCGGCGGCCAAGTTCGCCTCGGCGGAGTACTTTACCAACAACCTGTTGAGCTCCGTCTACTTCGAAGAGGGCTGCGAGAGCATCGACAAGGACGCCCTGGCCATCGAGATCGCCCCGCACGGCCTCCTGCAGGCCATCCTCAAGCGTTCCCTGCACGAGGACGCCGTCAACATCCCCATGACCAAGCGCGACTTCCCTGGCACCGCGATGGTGCTGGACGCTTTGGGCAAGTGAGTGACAGAGGCCAATGCACTTTTCCGACAGTCTCATCTCGAATGTGTAACCAACACTGTTTTGCCTCCAGGATGTACATGGAGGGGCTCAACCCACAGGTTAGCCGTCTGTACCCAAAGGTCGAGACTCCGGTGAGCAGAGGCACGACCTCGCTGTCACCCCTCGCCACCTGGGACCACAGGGACTCCTGGCCCGTCGCGTTCCTCAAGGCTCCCTCCGTAAGTCTGCGGCCCTCGGTGTGTTAACCTTTAATCCCGGGTGAATACTGATGCCTGCTTGGCACTTCTGATCCTCCACAGGGGAGTGGCCCGCGTACAGAGCTGCATCTGCCGCTGGCGCTCAGCACGGCGGAGCTAGCGCACCTCAGGGAATGCTCCTGGAACGGCCACACCGTGCTCACCCCAGCCACGTGCCTCGTGAGTAAACAGCCTAGGCTCCAGGTTGCCCTGCACACAACCATACTGTACGGTCTATGCTCATCCACCGAATTCTATCTTGCAGAATCTCGTCCACACTACCGTCGGCAGCTACGCTGAAGAGGGCATGCCGACCATATTCGAAAACGTCGTCTTCTACGATCCCATCGAGGTGCCCGAAGCCGGTACCGACGAGCTGTACGTGTTCGTGCAGCGGGGCAGCGGCCATTTCGAGGTGAGCGTCAACAACCGTCTGCTCGCCACCGGACGCGCCTTCCCCATGTCCGAGCAGGACTACAAGGACCACCAGGCCAAGAACAAGGACAAGCCACCGGCCACTGTGCCGCGGGAGGAGAGGTAGGTCGCGATTCACTTCGCCATGCCCCCC